CTCAGGAGGCTGAGGCAGGAGAATTGCCTGAACCCAGGAGGCGGAGGTTGCGGTGAGCCGAGATCGCGCCATTGCACTCCAGCCTGGGTAACAAGAGCGAAACTCCAAAAAAAAAAAAAAAAAAAAAAAAAAAAAAAAAAAAAAAAAAAAAAAAAAAAAAAAAAAAAAAAGAAAACTTTAAATTTTATCCAAGTAACGTGCATGGTTTAAAAGAAAGAAATTGAATAGTACTACAAGGCTTATGAGAAACATTTTTCTGTCCGACGCTCCTCCATTCCTGAATTAGCTTCCTTAATTCTTTTCCCTTCTATGTGTGAGCTCAAAAGCATCTGATCCAGGTCTCAGTCAATTTAGAGAGTTTGTTTTGCCAAAATTAGGGATGCACCTGTGACATTTGCAGCCTCAGGTGGTCCTGATGACATGAGCCCAAGGTTGCTACAATTTGCTTTTATACACTTTAGGGAGACATAATCCATCAGTTAATACCTGTAAGATAGACATTGGTTCAATCTGGAAAGGTAGGACAACTTGAAGAGGGGGCTTCTAAGTCATAGGTGGATTTAAAGATTTCTCGCTGGCAGTTAATTGAGAGTTAAGTTGTAATCTGAAGACCTGGAATCAATAGAAAGACAATGTCTGGATTATAATAAGGGATTTTGGAGACCAAGGTTTTATCTTGTAGATGAAGCCTCCAGGTAGCAGGCTTTAGACAGAATAGATTACAAATGTTTCTTGTCAGACCTAAGGCCTCTGTTGATGTTAATGCTGGTTAGCTTTTCCTGAATTCCAAAAGGGATGAGGGTATAATGAGGCATGCCTGACCCACCCTTCGTATCATGGCCTGAACTGGCTTTTCACATTAATTTTGGAATGCCCTTGGCCATGAGAAGGCATCCTTTCAGGTTGGTTGCAGGGCTTAGCATTTTACTTTTGGTTTATGTATACACACGTGTGTATTTGCCTTTCTTCATTTCTAGGAAATAGACATATATTGCTATTTCTTGATTTATCAATTTTAGGCATTATATGTTGACTTCCTGTTGTGGAGAGTTTGGCATTCTTCTATTACCTTATGGCTCTACTTACCTCTTTCATCTTTGGAATATAATTATATTAGAATTTTTTTAATCCATGTGTGTTCATTTTCCTATGATTTATGAATATTGTTCAGCTGCATAATAACATTTCATCTCTTGTGGAGCTTTTGTTTCTTTTTGGAATCAAATTTGCTTCATTTTAAGTTTGCTTACTTTATCATGTCACTATACAAAGCATTCCAAGTTCTCCATTGGAGTATTAAATATTCTCCAAATGTTATTTCATGTGCAGTTGTTGTGATATTTCTTGTTGTCTACCCAATGTCAGTTCTGCCCCTCCCACTTATTTAAATAACAGGATCCTGATTTTGTTCAGAGTAGTGATATGCCCAACAAAATATAATCAACTACATTAAAGTCCTTTAGAGTCAGAAATAGCCATATGAACCAGATCTGGAAATTGGGATTCTGGGGAAGCTGTTGTTTTTCTGACAGACTCACTTGACATATATATTTTACCCATTGCCCTTTTTCATTATTCCTCCCCAGGATGCATGTGTGGTAATTAGACGTACCATAGTCATTTTACAAGCATAAGGATGAAGCTATACTCGGGGTGGGCAGAGCTGTAAAACAAAGTGTTTGGGGACCCTTTTCATTTTATGGAGCTACCTAACTAGATATTTCTCTTATATATAGCTGAACAGAGTTCTAACTAGTACAATTGCCAAATATATCAAATATTTCAACAGCTTCATTTTCTTCCCAGGAGACATCTTCCTGGAGTCTTCACCCTCTGTTCTAATCTGATTGCTTACTAGATCTGCACATTTCCTATCTGCTGTTCTAGAACTTAATATTGTGTCTTTTCTGTGTTAAATTCTGTTTCTTAGGCTTTCCTCCTCTTTCTCTGTCTGTCTCTGTCTCTGTCCCTCTTTCTCTCTGTCTCTTTCCCCTCTTTTGGCTTTGGTGGAGCATATCCTCTAATGTTTTCTTTTTTTTTTTTTTTTT